ATTTTCCTCTTCTAATACATTGTAAATCCTCTGCCCAACAACAACAACAAAGGAGCTTTTAAGTAAATGAATTGTTCTTTTTTTTTATTCAGGAGGAATTTTACGGCACGTCTTTGGCGCGTACAGTGCGACATTGTGCGAAGTAGTGTACACAGAAGGCCCTGAGAAAACAAAAGCGAGAGCGATACGGCAGAGTGCAGCGACTTTGGCCTCAAACCCATCCTTGTAATCCCGCCGTCTTTTGGAACGCACCCAGCCCAAGCCCAGGGACATCGTGCCAGAAGGCTCTTGTTTTATAATAAATGTTTGTACCGAGCAAATTCCCCACCCCCCCCCCCCCCCAGCGGCAATGGGAACATCTGGAGCAAAGGGGGGGGGGAGGGAAAAAAAGATTCACTGGGCTGTTCGTTGTCTTCAATATTGTTGACGATTCGTCAAACCGTGGAAGAAAAAAAAGATTAGTTGGCAGGTAAAGAAAAAAAATCGCAGAGGGACCCCTCCTTGAGCCGGTGTGTTTATTAACCTTTAACGCTTATCTGCCGTGGTTGATGTTTTACAGTGGCGTCCTCTATGCCACCAAATTGAAAAGCCACGCGCAAGAAACGAAAGGCAAGACGTGAATCATTCACAGTTACTGTTGATGCAGATTGGTCGTGACAAAATATGACGAATGCCTTTCACCAGCGCTTGCCTCCAATTGTTCTTCATTTTATTATTTAACCTTTCCTTCCAAAAAAAAAAGTCTCCCTCCACTATTTTTAACTTGTCATTTATAACAGCCCCATTGTTAACAACTGTTAGCAAGGAAACTTTGTTTGTTGTTTTAAAAGGGTTCTCCATCTTGCAAATGGTGTGTTTTGTTATTAAAGAGGTTTGGGCACACAAAAAAAAACCCACAAAATCTTGACTGCGATACTTTGGGTGGCCTTTATGAAGAGCAGTGTTTGGCGAAATGGCGAGAAAAAAACACCTGCCCACCGTAACAACTCTTAAATCCTCCTCCCACTGCCCCTCCCTCAATGGGGAAAGAAGGTTACCTTTGTCAACCATAAGTACTGGTTTTTCCTGTTTTGTACTTTGTAACAGGGTATTGTATTCCAGGCAGCTGTGTTTTTTACGTGTATCTATGCTTTCTTTGCTACATTGACATCATTCAAATCTTATACTTTAAGAGTATTTGGCTGCTATACATTTCCACGTGATAAGCCACTTCGTTGAGCTACCATTTGTGGCTAGGTCGCTTCAGAAACAAAGCTATATAGGTCAATGTGGGTCTTACTTTGTAAAATATAAAACATAGTTTAGTTTTCGTTTTTAAATGAAAAATATTTTAGTTTTACCTGAATCGACCTATGTAGGTTATGAAATTATCATCTAGGTGATAACAATCGCTTTAACTGCACAATTCCTGAATACGCATATGCAACACACAATTTCCTGTCCACCCTTTCGTCATCGCAAAACATATTTCAAACGTGGACCTCTACACAACTTATCTGCAGGGGAAAAAAAATCCACCGTACTTAAGAGATCCAGAAGCCAGGCCTGTCTGCTAAGCATGTAAACAACCCACTATTACTGGAGCAGACATGTGCATGCCTGTAGGGTTTCCACTATCCTGGTGTGTGGACTGCTGTCAGCACGCGCTGTTTATTGAACGCTGGTATGCGCCTACCCTGCTTAGCAATGGGACCCCATTCGTGCCAGCTACACGTGAAATGAAACAGCCGCAATGAAGCTGATCAAACGCACACACACCACTGCAGACGCTTTCCGAGTGATGGGGGCCCCATTCATAACTTGAATGCAGGACAGTGGCATCTGTTTGCAATTATATTCGTTTTGACAGCGCAAATAACGTCGTATATCAAAACTCAGGATTAGCCACATACTGTGCAGCAAATGCAAGAGTCTGTACACTGCATTCAAATGTCATTTTTTTTCGATTTCTTTGTGGAATTTATGCCACGAAAAATTGTGGAAGCTCAGGCCAGAGTACGTATCACTGGAATATGTGGCACATGTTGGAAATTGAACTTAGAATACAATTTTCAACACGCGGATTTGACCTCGTTTAATTATCTGCTGACCTTTCTAATTATTTAATAATAATAAAATGTATTATTCTCTTTATTCCTGATAACTCTCGAAAGGGAAACGTGTCTTTCGCTGCAACATTGTATATGCCAATGGAGTATTAATACGTCTATTTCAACACGTCTTTATTTACTTTATCCTTGTAAAGGCAGGATAAATATCAGCTTTCCACACAGTCTCTTTTGCAATTGCAAACTGCTTGCCCACATTATGGTTATCACTTAATGCTCTTCTGGCCACAAACAAACAAGGCATATCATGTTAATTAAGTGTGACAAAGTGCGTGGCAACACATTAACTAAACAATCTACCTCCATTATGCTGTTCTTTGCATGGATAATTTTCAACCTACTTATTATTTCAATGCAGACGGATGCCTGGGTGTGGATAACACGTTGGATAAAATCTACAGTGCTGTTATGACGTTAACTTTAGCATTTTACCCGACCTGCACAATGGTATCGTTTTTGTTGCGAGTATGCCTTATCATGGAATATAAGCATGCTGGAAAAACGGCTCGTACAACCCAATCCGAATGGTTAACCTCAAAACTGTAAATTCAGTTAAACTACATTGACCTGCCTTCCTTTTACTCACTCTTCCTTTAATCCACTCCGCAAAATTCAGTCAGTGGAAAGTCTGAATACCTGCCGACTGGTCCTTCATATTATCATCACTTATCCACTGCGGACAAGAGGAAGGACCCATTGTCCACTTATGCATGTTGTAATTCCATGGATAAAATGAGTCATTTGCGTAGATAAAATGCTGATAATAGGAACCGTCAATAGCACCCCTAAGTGAGGGAAGATTAGATGGGATTCACTGTTCTATATTGAATGAAGATACGGAACTAACAAAACTATTTTTTATTTTACCAGGTAAGGCCCACTGAGCTATGTAACTTTTTTCAGATGTGACCTGGTCACAAATGATAGCTCAATGACGTGGCTTATCACGTGGAATTTTACAGCAGCCAAATATTCTAAACACATGTTTCTTAAAAGTGGAGGGAAAAACTGGAGGACCCGAATAAAAATCCATGCAACCACGGGGAGAACATGCAAACTCCAAATATACAGGCGTCAGGGTCGGGACCGACCGAACCCATGAACTCTTGCATACCAGGCGAGAGAGTTAACATCTCGCCACCATGCAGGCTCACACTGCCCATTCGTAATCGAGTCAAAGCAGGTGAATTACAGAACATTTTCCTCCAGCATCATCACCTCCATTGTACCTGCAGTAACCTGCGGTAGATGAAAGGCAATGTACTTTCATTGTGGAGAAAAGCATGGGTAGCGTCCCTGCACCTCCCCCCGTGTCATCTGACATGCAAGAAAGCAGGCTACATACACCTCTCTCAAAAACTCCATCTGCAGTGACATGAGCCACATGTGGCAGGGCTGACATTTACACTTAACACGCATATATATGTTGTACTTCCAATGCATTATTGCTCTTCATACGTTTTCATATAATAATACAGTTCTGTACATTCTATACCATCTCTAAAGCAAATTTAAATTCCACCAAGTTCACGGTTGAAATTCTAGAGGGTTTTATGAGAGTTTAATTTTCAGCAGTGCCAATCTTGGCAGCAATAAATTAGAGTATATGGCCACATTTAGACTCGGAAAAGTGGGTCTTTGTAAAAGTAATATAGAAGTGGGTTCATAATACGTTGAAAAAGTAATGCAGTCATACTCATATATATACTTATTTTATGATCACATTATTGTATTTTAATATTAAGATATAAAAGCTCACATTCCTCCATGCTCCAATTAAAGATGGGTGGTGTACATCTATATTGTGGTCTGTGCCAGTGGTATTAATTCAACATTCCTATGGCGGGGATTAGTACAACCACAAAGCAACTGCTGTTGATCTTCTACAGAGTTGCGCAGCCACACTTGAGAGTGTTCATTTTAGCCGGAGCGATGATGATGATGAGGGCAATAATTAACCCTGCTTGGGGTTTGCAACCTGGCTGCTCAGCCAACTGAGCTATAGCTATAGCTAGTTCATATGTGGTTTGTATATAATATTGCATTTTTCCCATTCAACAGGGTCCCGTTGCTTAGAATCGAGTGCTGTTGCCAATGAGTTGGTAAATCAGCAGCAGCGTTTTTATAACAAGCCTGACTGCTGACAGAACCCAGAAGTTCTGAAACCGGCCCAGAATATTTCCCAGCAGAATTAATTCTGCTGGATAATATTGGTCTAGAAAGCCAAAGGGCTGATGGACTAAAACAATTATATTCATCGTGGGACCTCCTTTGCCAGTACCAAAATATGATAATAGGTTTTCCCCTTTTTATCTGGCAACAAAACAGGTGTTATAAGATGTTAAAACACCAAACTGAAACCTTTTTACAAGGAATCATGTCTGCATTAACCACAATACTTGTGGTCAGAATACAAACAAGAAACGTACTCTGATAATATATGCGTTGTCTTTGAAACTGATAGGTCCACACCAGATATATTATCAGAGTACATTTTTTGTTTGCAATCTGACCACAATTATATTCATGTGAAGACACGCAATGGAGTTATGCTTATACAGCCACACTATATGCCATTGGTTCTTAACCTGGGGTGCACGATGCCCTTTCTGGGGGTATGAGACATACCGGATTTTTTTAGAAGGTAAATAATCGAAACACAAATTAAGCGCAGGCATGTAAGTACAACTACTTTGTTTCATCCAACCTATGTATTTGTTAACATTATATATATTTTTACGATTGAGAATCAAAGGGGTGCATAGCTGAAATAAAGCTTAAAAACCAATGGTATATGCATTTGATGTATATAGCATGGTTGGCTACGTACGGTATGAAAGAAGTTCAACATACAGAAATGCACGTGTTTATTAATATTGTCGTATTACTTGCCTCTGTATTTGGAAGAAAGCTGTGGCTTGGTTCCATGACATCCATGTAGTTTTCGCTTCCGAACTAAAACGACGAACATACAAAATAAATGGAGGGAGGGAGGAGAAGATACAGAGACACGCACACGGACACAGTTAAACAAATGCCTCATTTTTAAATTGACATGCAAAAAAATGGCCACGTGGTTATAAATTCTACATTCTCCAGAGGCAGATCACATCAATTTCTCTTCCTCTGGGAAAAGGTTTTTTTTTTGTCAAAACTGGGCCAGTGTGCTTACAACTGCTCACTCTGGGGGCAAGCTGAGAATGTGTCATTACATTGTAATCTCACGTTGGAATGTGCAAAGTTTAAGTTTTGGGATGTGCTTTTATAATTTATTTTTTAACACGTTTTCCCTCCCTGCGCCCTCCCCATCTTAATTTATGTTACTGGGCTGTCAACATGATTGTTGTCGGTAAACGTTTAAAAAGGCACATATTGCACAAATGAGAATCACTTGTTTAAAACTGGGCAGATGAATTGTAACATTAGGCGTACATATGGTAAAGCTTTACAACTGAAGACTGCTGTAATTTAGTCTGGTTAAAATATAGCTTTTGTTAGACTGGGGGAAAAAAGAGAGAGAGAGGTTGAATCACAATGTAATACTGCACTTGATGGCTTACAAATGCTCCCGTAAAAAGCACGTTGTCTAATTTGATGGATTGCCAAGTCATTATTGAAGCACTTGCTAAGAATGATTAAACACATTGTAAAGAAACAAAAAAAAACAGTGGTTGCATTCCAATATCAATGTTTAAATAAAACGTCAAGTGGGAAATCTGATTTGTAGATAATACCGTGCAGCGGTCATTTTACGGTTTACTTCCTTAATGAAAATTGCACGAATCCCTGGTTTATATATAAAATTGGACGTACACGCAGGGTTGTCTTGTGCAACGCACGTGGCCCCGTTTATATCAAGAAGGGGCTTTAAAACGCATCCCGGGCGAGACATTTTCCAAGCAGTGGAGGTATTCCAAAAGTGGTTTACAACGATGGCAATACGCTGCGACAGGACCAACAATAAGGGTGAGATGAACGCAGAGGGGTTAGCAGCCGCTCCCGGAGTCCTTGTTTCGTTGCTGCATTTCGGCAAAACCCCTACCCGCTATTACAGAGCGTGACATGAAAATCAATGTTCCCACTTAACAACTCCGGGATAATTGATTAACACCATCTGGCCATACAATTCACTCGGCACGCAACAGAGTGTCAAGTTGGATATGCATGTAGAGCAAAAGATGGACAGACCATGAAGGAGAGCCAGGGAGGGCCTGGGTGGCGATGGGGGTTGTGGTTCGTGTGGAAAGAGGCAAGGGAGTGGAGGGAGGGGCTGTTATATGAAAGAAAGGGAAATTCATCAACAAATAGGTATGGTATATGAAACAAAAGCACATGACGAGAGAATTTGGGAAATAAGTGCCAAATTTTAACGGTGAAAAGGAGGAATTAAACATGGAGGGATAATGAACAAGTCACTTATAATGAAGGGAGATTTATAACATAACTACGTTACGGTAGGATATAGAACGTAAAGTGCAACAGATGGATAAAGATCATTAGGCAAACACGGGCGTGGGGGGGGGGGTGTAAAAAAAAATACAATACGCACACACGAAATAAATAACTCATAAGCCAAGAAACTGAAGTAGACAAATATGTGCCAAGAGAGTTGAAATGTAAAGGAAATAACATAAAGCAAACTGAACACACAATGAAGGGTGGGCTGTCAACAGCAATTACCCACTGCAGCTGCCATGACAGTAATAATCGACAACAGTAACCCCGCTGTGTTCACTCTGAACGTAATCAATCTTAATCCCCTCCCCATACAATATTTTCTCTGTTTCTCCGAATTATTTTTAACGAGTAGAAAGCGCTACGTTTCTGCGTGCGCCTAATTAATACCAGTTTTTTTTTAAATATATATTCTCTCTCGTGTTTTTTTGGTTTAAATTAGGTTTTTTTTTTTGGGGGGGGGGGGGTGTGGGCCAGTGGCTGAGTAGGGGGCGATGGAGATCGAACAGCGGCTGGGAGGTGACTTTCACATAAATAAGCATTTTCCTCTGGACCCCCTCCCCCCCCTAACAAGGTCTGCCTCGTGCTACTTTGCTTGTGTGATCGTATTAAATACAACGTATTAAATACAACGTATTAAATACAAGGCATTAATGGGCCGCAACGCGCGCCCCAATCCCACTGGTTCCTTGCTTTGCCCGTACGCGAAATGAACACGCGTCAATCATTTTGATGCGTAGAGGATATGAAAATACACACACAGACACAAAAGATTACCAGCCCATCCAACCTCAAATACTGCAGGGGAAGAGTGTGGTTAGTGAGCACCTATTAAAGGCTGTCAACACAAGAAGAAGCAGTGGCTACCTTTGTGTACCTGCTGCCGATCCCTCCGACACACTGCAACAAGAGGCACGGGACTCTTATTTAAGGCTTAGTTGAACGACGTGAAGCCGCAGGATGGGTTGAGATGCCACTTTTGCTCACCAATGTTGTGCACGGTGGCCCAGGATACGAGCCACAACGACACCAGGAATGAAGTGCATGAGTGTGCTTACCACCAAAGACCACCAAGGCTTAAAAGACTGCTGGGGCAAGTGCTGTTGGCGAGCACCTATAAAGGCCGGCACTGCAGTGGCACACGAGGGGGTGGGTGGGTGGGTGGGCCGGCACCACGCACGACCGCCTTTGTCTCCCCCCAAGTGGCGATGGTTTACACGCCGCATCAGGTGCTAATCTTTGAGGCCGAGTCGACCTAGGGGAGGCCCAGGACCTGTTCTGACAATCGTCACTGGGGTTGTTGGCCATGAGTTTGTAGGGCAGCGCGCTAACCGCTAACACTACCGCTACCCACCACACGCGCACACAACAGACATCAATTCAGAGCCAGGGCGCGGCCAAACACACTCCGAGAACAAGACACCAGGAAAAAGCTCCGCCTCATACCTAATGCTAAGCAAATTCTAAAGCCCACATATTCATGTGCTATTAATAATGTACGATGATACATTAATACGGGTGGATATTGGAAACTAAACACCGTACTGTAAACGCTACCCTCTGTTAATGTTTCAAGTGCTATTCTTTAAAAAAATTTGACCACCCCTAAAAAAACCACACCAGTAATAACGATAATAACGACAAAAACATAACAATTGAGAGCTATGTTGTCAATCCACTGCTGGATTGAAGGCCTCCCCCACGCCATGTCGTCAAAGGGCTCGTTTGACCATACTTCACCATGCTGGTCAGTGCGGATTAGTGAAGAGGGGGCCCATACCGGTTCCGTTATTACTCGGGAATCAAACCCAGAATGCGAGGTTCACACTCCTGCGGAAAGCAGTGTAATACATTACTTGCGCACATGTCACGTGATGTGGGGGAGGCCTTCATCCAGCAATTGACATAACATGGCTGATGATGAATATGCAGTGAAATTCCCAAAAATGCATTGAAGTTGCCACCGAAAACGACTTAACAGCTGAGCGAGAGCATCAACTTGCCGCAACAAACACAAATCCCAAACACTCCCCCGCTCCCACAAATCATCTTTTATTTTTCACCCCATATCCTAAATGACACCGTATGACATTTCCCCGTTTACCAACGAAGGGCTCATTTTAATAGTCAATTTGATCTGCTTTGCAATTACATCCTTGCAATGATTCCCACCCCCTTCCCTTTTCTGAAACTGCGTAGCTGTATTTGGCACGATCTCGGCATTTTCAATCAACTCACAGAATTTGTTGTACGTGTCGGCCTAAACAAACAGCGGTGGCTTCTAATAACGGCCCGCTTGTGCTGGAGCCACTGCTGTGACAGCATGTTAATGTTCTTTTATATGCAGGTTTTATATTTCGCCAAATGTCAGTGAGCTTAAATAGCCTAGCGGGGGGGGGGGTATTTCTGAACACGCGTCGCCTCCAGAAATGCGTGGTATTGTCAGTACCTGTTATGCAAGCCGCAGTGAAAATGGCATAAGCATGCAATTAAATAAATAAATAAACACACACACAACGCCGGCTACAAAAAAAAATCAAACAATTTAAGCTGAGCCAAAGCTAAAAGCTGGATTAAGCAGCGCACCGTTGAAATTAATAAACTCAATGCAGGACAGTTCTCCAGTTGTATGCCTTTTCATTTCCATGCTGTCATATGCAGCCCTCCCTACCACCCCTCCACCTGCGTTGCCTCCCCATACTTATTCAGCATTCCGCATGGTACACTCCAAGTCATGGCACAATGGCTGTGTTCAAGCCAAACGACATCATTGATCAAGCCTGCAGATGAAGAGTGCCGTAATGAATACGAACAATCTGTTCCCCTGGAACAACATGTCCTGTTATGTGTACTTATCAATGATTAATGGGCTGTAATTGGACTCCACCTGGCCAGAAACACTCCATTAGTCCAGCGTCATGATAAAGCTCCTGTCTCAAACTGCATCCAAGCCTATTTTAATTTAAATGAGGGAATGCATAAATTTGCCTTTAAAATGTTTTTTTTTCTCTCAACAACTGCATTATTGTAAGGGGAATAATGAAGCAGGCAGCCGAAGTCTATTGCAGCAAGTTACCAGTTTATTCAAAAGACTCGGGAGTTAAACCACATTACCTAACGCTTAAATATAATTAACAAAAAAGAGTAATGTGGATATAATTTGCATCTTTCATCTTGTTTTCACAGCTAAACGCTAAATTACTTTTTTCCCTTTCAGCAAAGGCTACTCTGCGGCTCATCTCCGCCGCTATTGCCAAATCCACGTGATGGTTTAATTCAGTAATTGCCCAATAAATTAACCAGCAGGTTCCTTTCAAGCAAGAATTGAACTGATCAATTTGTCGATGGGGATTAGCTTTATTGCACAGCTGCCAATGCCCCTTCTAAACATTGACGGAAGTCTCAGCCTCTGAGCAACTTAAGTGCATTACAAATAACCTTCCTTAAAAACCCAACGTAATGAATTCCCGCACACTTAACCACTAATTGCTATCCGTGCC